CGAACCATACCCTGCTGTTAGATAACGTCCTCTATATCCGTGAGTATCTATAGCAACGCATTTTCCTGGCCGAACGCGCCCCAGAAAGCATACTCTCAAACTCTATTACGTTTGCGGCTATTTCGTGTCAGTAGTCTTCCTAGTTGTGAAAACGATCAGCGACTATTGTAAATGTAACCAAAGCTGAGATGTCACCCCCTAACTATGCCTTATGTGAGGCCCCAAGGAAGAACACGACAAGAAAAGCGCAAAAGCAGAAGTATATTAGCGTAAGTAGTACAACATATTTAAGGTAAGGAAACGCGTGTACGGCCATGTCTATCGGGCCAATCAGATACTGTCCTGGCACGAGTAGCGACACGATTGGCTTGTGACTCTACGGCTGGCTTGTCAGAGTTTTAACCTTGCCGCAGCTTTACATTTTAAATTAATAATTAATTGATTAATTGTCAGTCAGCGTTCGCAGCATGTAGGCGGATGGATAGTCTGCCGTGAGCTGTCTGCCTGCTCGCGTTTCCGTCAAGATTGCTTCGAACAGTGACTATCCTCGCAAGTGTTGTTGACGGCATAGTTTCTTTCAACACCCCACACCTTTTTTTGGTGACGATGAGATTGGTGCATTATTGTCAGACATGTTTCTTGAATTTCGCAAGATCTCGGACGCCTGTAGTCGATCTTACACTAAGAGTCTACTCGTTCTAGTGCACCAGTGAAACTCCCAGTTCCCGGGGCCCCAAATACTTCGCTGGACGTTATCTCCTGAAACGTCAAACGAACTTCTGAAATTTATTTCCGCTTCGAACAAATTAGTTAAGTAGAATTGTAAGATTGATAATCGTGGAGTCAAATCCCAAGATATGTTAGATGCCTCAGGTTGCTGGCTTTTGAACGGACATCCTTCTGATCGCCTACAGGAAGTATATTCTGTAAAATATGGAGCCTTAAGCAGTATGCATTTTGCTCATTAATTTTTTCCTGTGCTTGTAACTTCAAATATATTGTGTAGGGATTGTATGCAAAAACATTATTTTTCTCGCACTCGTTTTATAAAAACTTATGCCTACACATGTTGTCCTTAAAGAAAAGGTGTGATTCGCTCGCTCTTGAGGTACCTCTTCGACTTCATACTATGGTTATTACTATTAATATTTTACCGCTTGGGTGATATTATTATTCCTCTTGGAATCTCACCCTGCTATTAGATAACTACCTCTAGAGCCGTGAGTAGCTATAGCAACGCATTTTCTTGATCGAACGCGCCCTAGACAGCAAACTCTCATACTTTATTACGGTTAGGTCTATTCCATGACAGTAGTCTTACTAGTTGTAGAAATGATCAACAGCGGCTATCCTCGAAACTGTTGCTGGCATGCATGATTACTTTCAACAACTCGTTCGCCTGCTTTTGTGGTGACGATGCTGTTAAAACGACGGCGTCGCCAGTTGTGTAACGGTGGTATCTGACGTGTGTCACCGTCAAATTACGCCCTTTGGAATCGCCAAGGAAGAACATAATACGAAGGGCGTAACAGTGGAATCCACCTGGAAGAGAGTTTATTGTGTACAAAACCCGGAGTTGCTGTCTCGGGTGGTAGTTGTCGCTGGTTGATCTCCAGCGTGCTCTTTATGACGCCTCGGGTGGGGTTGTCCGCGCAGTCCGGTGTGCAGCTCCCCCTGTCTGAGGTGTGACAGTGGCTTATAATAGGGATAAAGTCACGCGTTTTTTTTGGCGTGATTGGCCACATTGGGATAACGTCACGCGACCAGTTGGCCCTCGGGGAACTGAGACCACTTGGGCACGCGCTTTGACGTGCGTGTGTTTGTCTGGTTTAGTGTCATTGTGTGTGATTAATCATCGCGCGGGCATGACCATCGCAAAGGCATATGACCTTGAAGGCGGTCAGGGTGAACACATAAACACGTTTGGCTAGGTTCGATGCCTCAGGAAAGCCTCCAGATGTTGCTAAAATTTAGTCAAGCTAATCTCCCAACAATTCCTTCCTTTGAGTTGGGTAGCGTGTTGATTTGATTTGAATACTCGTGAGCCGGAGAAATCCTCCAGTACCATTGATAGCCGTTTTGCACGATGTGATCATCGGAGGCCTGTTCTAACGGTAACAAACAGAGAAACATTCATGGCCTTTTTGTGTGACTTGATCATTGGAGGCCTGTTGTAATCGTAAGAAACCGTTATGTCTGTCAATGTTTGTAACGGAAATACGCATGGTAAAATATGCGTCACCCATGCTTGTACTGTGCT